TAAAGTGTGAGGGGTGCTTAGGTGACCCAGAACAGCCTCCACACCACAACCAGCAAGCTGCCATGGAAAACAGCACTTCAGTAGCAAAAAGAAAAGCCCCTTCCTTTTGCTCCTGCCTTTCAGCGTCTCTCCAGCGCCCTCTATTGGCAAAGTCTAACAGCAACAGCCCCCCTCCCAGCCAGGCAAAAAAGCAAGTCAGTGGTGTCTCTGTGTCATCAAAGCATGGCAAAGACGGATTGATTTGGAGCTGAGAGGTGATAAGCTAGTAACTGACACAAATTTATAATTTTTTTAAAATATAAACCTATCTTTAGTTTCCTAAATAATGACTTGAACACTTTTAACTTTCCTTTGAATCAGCCTCATATTCCTTTTTTTCTTTTAGCTGTGATGACTTTTTTAAATATAAAATTTATTGTCAAATTGGTTTCCATACAACACCCAGTGCTCATCCCAACAGGTGCCCTCCAATGTCCATCACCCACCTTCCCCTCCCTCCCACCCACCATCAACCCTCAGTTTATTCTCAGTATTTAAGAGTCTCTTACGGTTTGGCTTCCTCCCTCTCTAACTTTTTTTTTTCCCCTTCCCCTCCCCCATGGTCTCCTATTAAGTTTCTCAGGATCCACATAAAAGTGAAAACATATGGTATCTGTCTTTCTCTGTATGACTTATGTCACTTAGCATAACACTCTCCAGTTCCATCCACATTGCTACAAAAGGCCATATTTCATTCTTTCTCATTGCCAAGTAGTATTCCATTGTATATATAAACCACAACTTCTTTATCCATTCATCAATCGATGGACATTTAGGCGATACATGAATTCAGCGAAGTCGCAGGATACAAAATTAATGTACAAATATCAGTTGCATTCTTATACACTAATAATGAAGCAACAGAAAGGCAAATAAAGAAACTGATCCCATTCACCATTGCACCAAGAATCATAAAATACCTAGGAATAAACCTAACCAAAGATGTCAAAGATCTGTATGCTGAAAACTATAGAAAGTTTATGAAGGAAATTGAAGAAGATACAAAGAAATGGAAAAATATTCTGTGCTCATGGATTGGAAGAATAAGCATTGTTAAAATGTCAATACTACCCAAAGCAATCTACACACTGAATGCAATCCCAAGCAACATTGCACCGGCATTCTTCTCGAAGTTAGAACAAGCAATCCTAAAATTTGTATGGAACCACAAACGACCCCGAATAGGCAAAGTAATATTGAAGAAGAAGACCAAAGCAGGAGGCATCACAATCCCAGACTTTAGCCTCTACTACAAAGCTGTAATCAACAAGACAGCATGGTATTGGCACAAAAACAGACACACAGACCGATGGAATAGGGAATCCAGAATTGAACCCACAAATGGATGGCCAACCAATCTTTGACAAAGCAGGAAGGAATATCCAATGGAAAAAACAGTCTCTTTAACAAATAGTGCTCAGAGAACTGGACAGCAACATGCTGAAGAACGGAACTAGACCACTTTCTTACACCATTTACAAAAATAAACTCAAAATGGATAAAGGACCTGAATGTGAGACAGGAAACCATCAAAACCCTAGACAAGAAAGCAGGAAAAAAACCTCTCTGACCTCAGCCACAGCAATTTCTTACCTGACACATCTCCAAAAGCAAAGGAATTAAAAGCAAAAATGAACTATTGGGACCTCATGAAGATAAAAAGCTTCTGCACTGCAAAGGAAACAATCAACAAAACTAAAAGGCAACCGATGGGATGGGAAAAGATATTTGCAAATGACATATCGGACAAAGGGCTAGTATCCAAAATCTATAAAGAACTCACTAAATTCCACACTTGAAAAACAATCCAGTGAAGAAATGGGCAGAAAACACGAACAGACACTTCTCTAAAGAAGACATCCAGATGGCCAACAGGCACATGAAAACATGTTCAACGTTGCTCTTCATCAGGGAAATACAAATCAAAACCACACTCAGATATCACCTCATGCTAGTCACAGTGGCTAAAATGAACAAATCAGGAGACTATAGGTGCTGGAGAGGATGTGGGGAAACAGGAACCCTCTTGCACTGTTGGTGGGAATGCAAACTGGTGCAGTTCTGGAAAACAGTGTGGAGGTTCCCCCAAAATTAAAAATAGACCTACCCTATGACCCAGCAATAGCACTGCCAGGAATTTACCCAAGGGATATAGGAGTGCTGATGCATAGGGGCACTTGTACCCCAATGTTTATAGCAGCACTTTCAACAATAGCCAAATCATATTCCTCTTAAAGGTTAATACCAGCATTTTAGCACCGCTGTGTTTCCAAACCTAGTTTTTGCAAAAATTTTTGGTTGCTTGCTTATATTTTTTAAACAGTCAAGACTTAGTTAACCACCAATTTATGGATTTCTTTGCTCCCCATTGTTTCCCACATGCCACTTCTGAATGTTACATTTTCTTTCTTCCTGAAGTGCATCTAGTAGCCATTTTTCAGGTTGCTGTTCCCTTGTGTTTCATATTTTTAAAATTCCAATTTTATCTTGTAACTTTTGCCTAGAAGCTTCTTTTAGTTGGAATTACCTGCTGTAGTGATCCCAGAGCTTCCCCGGGGTGCGAGTGGCAACCTCAGGGCCAGTTTGTGGTTGCCTGGGTCAGGGCTTCATGTGATTGCAGGTTCAAAACCAGTTTTCACATTTTCAAGGTTTGGGGGTTCCTGTACAAGTCAATTATGTGTAACCACAGATTCCATACTCCTGTAGGACCGATTCGGTGATTGTTTCCACCCATTGCTGACAACCAGTTCCTTATCCTCATCAGCAGCCAAGGTGTTTTCTGTTATAAAACTTTTCAGGCTTCTTGCCCCTTACACAGTAATGTTGCCTTCTGTCTTGTGTGTATGCTAGAATTCTGGTTCCTGTCAATACTTAAACTCACCTTCAACTCCTGTACCCTGCTTTAGATATCCTCTTAGACCATCATCAGGAACTTTACCTGCATTACGTCTTAATCAGCCATGTGTAAAATAAATGTTGCTGGTTTAAGTAAGGCTTTCTGTGTGTTTGGAAGAGGAAGGATAGTTTTTCACTTGTCTGCTATCTTTAAGAGGATTTTTTTAAATAATGTTTATTTTGGAGAGAGAGACAGGGCATGAGCCAGGGAAGGGCAGAGAGAAAGGGAGACACAGAATCCAAAGCAGGCTCCAGGCTCTGAGCTGTCAGCACAGAACCGGACGCGGGGCTTCAACTCATGAACCACGAGATCATGACCTGAGCTGAAGTCAGATGCTTAACCAGCTGAGCTACCCAGGCACCCTGCACTTGTCTGCCATCTTGACCAGAAGTTAAGGTTGCTAATATGCAGGATATGACACATGATACATTCCCTTATACTTCTCTAGTGCTTTACCATTTTCAAGGCCCGTGTATTTAATGAACATTTGAATGCCATTGTGAGGTAGACAGCACAGGCAGGTATCATTTGCTCCGTTTTGTTATGAGAATTTGTCATTCAAAATAGAAATCTTAGCAGAAACAAATGTTATTATGCATCTGCCATGTACTTAGCATAGTCTTGGATGAGGGGGGTTGAAAAACCAGAGTAACTTAGTTCAATTGGGTGGACAATAAACAAACATTAAATACCAAACACAATATAAGTAGTTGCTTAGTATGTGACCTTCATAGGTTTCTAATAAACTTTTTTTTTAAATGTTTATTCATTTTTGAGAGACAAAGAGAGCATGAGTGGGGGAGGGGCAGAAAGGGAGACACAGAATCCGAAGCAGGCTCCAGGCTCTGAGCTGTCAACACAGAGCCCCATGCGAGGCTTGAACACACTGTGAGATCATGACCTAAGCCAAAGTCATCCGCTTAACTGAGCTACCCAGGTGCCCCTCTAATAAACATTTTTAAAAATTAAATGTTATAGGCAGGGAATTAAAATTAAAAATAGTATTGACAGTAAATGATGTAGGAGGTGGGGAGAGGCCATTTCACTGTGGACTGGCATAACAGAGGAGGTAGGTTCTGAGACAGGCTTTTAAGAAAATAGGATTTGAGTAGGCAGGATAGGATATGTAGACTATTCTGGAAAAGAGCATATGAATAGAGAGTAGCAAAAGACTGGGGACCAGATTGTTAGGTCTAAAGGGCAAATTAAGCAGTGGGTTTTACTCTTGTAGAAAACAGGAAATCATAGATAATTTATAAGACAGTAACATGACAAAAACTTTAGGATGTTACCATTCTTCAGAAAAAGCGTAGTGCAGGCAGTGGGGGAGGGAGACCAGGAAACGGATGTCAGGGGTGTGGCCTGAGTAAGAGAAAAGATAATGTGGGCTCCACAGGAACTCGAGGATAACATCAGAGAGGACAAAAATATTTGGTTTTATTAAGTTTGAAATGCAAAAGGGGCACTTGTTTAAATGTGCAGTTTACATACTTTTTGCTTCTAAAGTTATTTAAGTGAACCAGCCATGTCTTAGAAAGGTGGAACAGAATTGCCAAACCATGTGAGAGAGATACAGAGGCTCCTTTTCCCCTCTGGCACCAACACTCCGCAGCAGGCTCTAGTGCTCTGCCCTTGGAGAGCAGATGTAGAGGCAAGTTTGGGATTTGGTTTGCTTTTTTCCTATGGAAGTGACGCCTCCTGCTGGAGTTTGGTCCTGAGCCATCCCACGCTGGAGTATTGAACTGAGGGTATTTAGGTATACCACTATAACATTGTGGTCATCGGAAAAGTACATTTCAGTTCTAAAGTAGATACAGGGACAAATTTCCAGGCAGCACAGTACCAGAGGTGGCAGTCAGAAGGGCACAGGTAGTGTTGGCTTTTGGCACTTTTGGTGTGGGTCCCTTTTTATTCCTATAAAAGAAGCCTCTTTAGTCAGTCGCTTCCCAGGAATATTGGTAGCTGCTCCAGGAACAGACCTCCTTTTCCCCCTATGCCTGAGACAGGACCCTTGTGACAAGTCCCACGTTGTATGTAATTACCCACACACACAAAAAATCACCACTGAGATTCCTAATAATTTATTAGGCACGAATACCTCATTTCTTTTTGGATTTGAACAATTAAATCCAACTGAGAGAGTAGTTCTTGCTTTTGCATATGTTGACCTCTTCCTAGTATTATCCAGTCATGCACTTAAATTTCACACGAAAATGTATGTATATATTTTCAAATGGCTGTTCTGATTTAAATTACAAAATATACATATGTACACATTTTAATATAAAGCTGGTAAGGGTGCTCATCAACTTCGGGGCTGTCCATCTGGAGTCAGCTCATACCTGTAAGACAGTCAGGTTGGACTTGCATTAGTATGAGAGCGTGCTGTGGTGGGCAGTGGCAGAAAGGCAGCCTTGTCTAGCCTGCCTGGGCCCCTGTGGGACAGCAGAACCCGTCTCTCTGTAAGGAGACCAGGCAGGGTTAAGGCGAGAACTTAAAGAGGTCTGTTGGGCAAGTGAGATCTGCAAGCAGGGAAAGCCTGAAGTACAAGTCTAATCTGTCTCTCTCCTTGATAAGCAAAGAAGCTGACATGTCCTGAAAAGGGAAGAACTTTGGAGAGAATATGCACAACTGTCTGAGACGGTGTCTTGAGTACCAGATTAATGTGATAAAATGAAAGGGCTCACTTACCAATGTGAGAAGCCCATAATCAGATCCTCTTTTGATAAGTCGATCAGTACCTAAACAAACACAAGTAATCAGTTTCCTTCCAAAAATTGCATCGAGTGGAAACCTATTGGCACAAACGGAATTGATCATAAAAAGGGCTTCCTTGGGCTTCAGTTTTGAGCAGGGGCCCTTTTTCCTTTGGCTCTCAACATTGTACTGTCCTTCTGGAGAGGTTCTGACAATGACCTCAGTGTCCTGAGAAGAGGACAACTGCTGTTTGGAGTTAAACCTCAGAATTTACATGGGGCACCTGGGTGGCTCAGTCAGTTAAGCATACGACTCTAGATTTGGGGTCAGGTCATGATCTTGCAGTTTGTGAGTTCAGGCCCTGCATTGGGCTCCATGCTGGCAGTGTGGAGCCTACCTGGGATTCTCTCTCTCTTAAATAAAACTTTGAAAAAAGAATTTATCAATGTTACTGAACGGGAGAAAAACTTGCCTTTACTCATGAACTGATCATAATTTTAAGCAAGACACCATAGTTGCCTCAACTGTAAAAGTGAGGATATTACCTCCATCATAGAAGTGGGCTTTTCAAAACATGATTATAGGAAGATGTTTATTGAAATACAACTGCAAAGTATTAACAAACATCCTTCTTTTTTGTGTCTCCTTGGCATCTCCCTAAAGATTATATTTACTGTACTTCTACTTTAAAATCTCATCTCCGCAAAAATCTTGACGTAATGAGACCCAAGCCTTCACAGGATGCTGTATTTATCAAAACAATACTTAATACATGTTCAGATACTTGTGCAATGATGAATTTAGATAGATTCTCCAGCTTGTTAAAAGCGTTGATCATATTTACACATCTAATACTTTTAGAAACATTACACACACATACATAAACACACACAAAATAAAAATAACCTTCTAATGAGGCTCTCCCCTCCTTGAACCCAGGTCTAATAACCAGATGATCCAATCAGAATTTCTGCAAGGGTGTTCCACCAATGAACAGTTAGAGTGCCGGGGCGGGGGCGGCGCCCCGGGGGGCGCTGTTGGGAACAGAGTATCAGGAGTCCCTCTTGTACTTACTTTTCCCAGTTCCTTCCTTCTGTGTGAGCCAAGTGGCCTACTGTTTTTCACTGCGACATCTAGTGACCTCTTCTTTACTTCTTCCATGGGAACAAAAAATTCAAATCTTAAAGAAGCAAAAAGTCAAAGTGAGATTTACATATTTTAATCATTTTTGTTTGATCTATTTTCCTACTTTTAAAACCGAAGCCTATTCAGGGGAGCATCCAGAACAGTGTTGGTTCATAACAGATATTCAGTGCATCATTATGACATAATCTCTGTCGTGTGCTAATCAAAAGCCCTGGAAGCATCAAGAGGCTGTTTGCCTCTCTGGGAAGTGCCTCGGACTACTGTGCTTTGGGATTTGCTTCGGACTTTCTCTGAGCTTGCCCTGTCTCTCTTTACCTGCCCCTTCTCTCTCAGCAGTGCCTGTTCATAGGCCCACCTCAACCCTGTTTTTTCTGACCAGCTAAGGACTAGGATGCTAAATACTTAGGTCTCTTGGAGTTTCATGAAAAATAGTGGCCTTTCTTCTGTCTGTGGAGCAAGGCAGAGGAATCTTTTTGTATAAGCTTTGTCATGTACTCACAAAAGGTTACTGGCCTCCTTACTTGTAGATATTTATTCTTTTTTTTTTTTGAGGTAAAGTAACATTAGTTTCACATGTATAACATGATTTTATATGTGTATATATTGCAAAATGATCACAAGTCAACATCCATCACTACACAGTTAATAATCTGTTTTCTCATGGTGAGAACTTTAAAGATCCATTCTCCTAGCTACTTTCTAAAATGTAATATAGCATTATTAAATATGGTCACCATGCTGTACATAATATCCCCATGACTTCATTTTATAAGTGGAAATTTGTTCCTTTTGACCCCCTTCACCCATCTCCACCCCACCACCCCCTGCCACCTACCACCAATCTATCAATGAGCTTGGCAGTTTTTGGATTTTTGGTATCTTTTATGGATTTTTTTTTGTTTTGTTTTAGATTCCACATGTAAGTGAGATCATTCAATAAGAATCTTTGTCTGACTTATTTCAGTTAGCATAACACCCTCATGGTCCATCCATGTTTTCACAAATGGCAAGATTTCATTTTTTTTTTTACAGCAGAATATTTCATTGTGTGTATGTGTATGTACACACACACATACACATCTTCTTTATCCATTCATCCACCATTGGACACTTAGGTTGCTTCCATGTCTTGGCTATTGTAAACAGTGTTGTAGTGAACATGAGGGTACATATATGTTTTTGAATTTTCTTTGGCTAAAGTCCTAGAAGTAGAATTGCTGGGTTGTAGGGTAGTTCTATTTTCAATTTTTTGAGGAACCTCCATATTGTTTTCCACAGTGGCTGCACCAGTTTGCATTCCCACCAACAGTGCACAAGGGTTCCCCTTTCTTCACATCTTTGCCAACTCTTGGTAATAGTCATTCTAACAGGTATAAGGTGATATCTCATTATTGTTTTGATTCCCATTTCTCTGAGGATTAATGATATGGAGCACCTTTTTATGTATCTTTTGGTCATCTGTGTATCTTCTTTGGAAAAATGTTGAGGTTCTCTGCCTATTTTTAAATCAGACTTTTTGGGTTTTTTGCTATTATAGGAGTTCTTTGTATATTTTGAATATTAACACCTCATCAGATAAATGGTTTGTAAATATTTTCTCCCATTCAGTAGGTTGCCTCTTTGTTTTGTTGACCATTTCCTTTGCTGTGCAAAAACTTTTCAGTTTGATGTAGTTGCACTTAATTTTGTTTTTGTTGCCTTTGCTTTTGGTGTCAAATGCAAAAAATGATAACCAAGACCAGTGTCAGGGAGTTTATTGCCTATATTTTCTTCTAGGAGTTTCATGGTTTCAGGTCCTACATTACATTAAGTCTTTAATCCATATTAAGTTTACTTTTGTGTATGATGTGAGATTGTGGCCCAGTTTCATTCATTTACATGTGGCTGTCCAGTTTTCCCAACACCGTTTACTGAAGAAACAGTCCTTTCCTCATTGTATAAGTTGTATTAATTGACATTGTCATGTTAGTCAACCATCTAGATGTGGATTTGTTTCTGCGCTGTTTTGTTCCATTAATCTTTGTGCCTGTTTTTTATGCCAATACCATACTGTTTGATTACCATAGCGTTGTAATAGAGTTTGAAATCAAAGTAGTATAATGCCTCCAGCTTTGTTCTTTCTTAAGATTGCTTTGGTTTCTCGTGGCTCCATACCAGTTTTAGGATTATCTGTTTTATTTGTGTGAAAAAAGCCATTGGAATTTTGAAAGGGATTGCATTAAATCTATAGATTGCTTTGGGTAGTATGGACATTTTAACATTAATTCTTCCATTCCTTGAGCAGGAACTATCTTTGTGTTGTGTTCAGTGTTTTTCATTAATGTCTTAGATTTTTCAATGCACTGATCTTTTACCTCTTTGGTTACATTTATTCCTAGGTATTTTATTCTTTTTGATGCAGCTGTAAATGGGACTGTTAATTTCTCTGATAATTCATTATTAGTGTACAGAAATGTACTGAATTTGTTGAATAGTTCTAATGGTTTTTTAGTGGAGTCTTTGGGGTTTTCTATAATGTTACGTCATCTATAAATAGTGACACTTTTACTTCTTCCTTTTCCATTTGGATACCTTTTGTTTTTCTTGCCTAATTGCTCTGACTAGGACTTCCAATACTAAAAAAGTGGCAAGGGTGGCCATCCTTGTCTTGTTCCTGACCTTAGAGAAAAAGCTTTCAGCTTCTCACTGCTGAGTATGATGTTGGTTGTGCGTTTGTCATCTATGGCCTTTATTATGTTGAGCTACATTCCCTCTATACCCACTCCGTTGACAGTTTTTATTTTTAGTGGATGTTGAGTTTTGTCACTTTTTTTTCCTTAATGTTTTTTATTTTGAGAGCGAGGGAGGGAGGGGCAGAGAGAATCCCAAGCAGGCTACATGCTGTCAGCACAGAGCCCAATCTCACAAACCATGAGATCATGACCCAAGCTGAAATCAAGAGTTAAACACTTAACCAACTAAGGAACCAAGGTACCCTGAATTTTGTCACATGTTTTATCTGCATCTGTTGAGATGAATGTATGATTTTTGTTAATGTGATGATTCACATTGATTGATTTGCAGATGGATGTTGAATCATCCTTGAATTCTGGGATTCCTACTTGATCATGGTGTGCCATCTTTTTAATATATTGTTGAATTCAGTGTTGTTTTTTAAGAGAGAATGTTATCTTTTTTATTAAACATTTAAGAGAATGTTACCTTTTTTATTAAAATTTTTTTTTAATGTTAGAGAGAGAGTGAGTGAGTGGGAGAGGGGCAGAGAGAGGGGCATTCAGAGTTGTTTTTTTATGTTTATTTTTGAGAGAGACAGAGAGAGAGAGAGAGACAGAGTGTGAGTGGGAGAGGGGCAGAGAGAGAGAGGGAGAGACAGTATCCAAGGCAGGGTCTAGGCTCTGAGCTGTCAGCACAGAGCCCAACATGGGGCTCAAACTCATGAACCATGAGATCATGACCTGAGCCTGAACATCAGACACTCAACCGACCGAGCCACCCAGGCTCCCTGAATTCAGCTTTCTAATATTTTGTTGAAGATTTTTGCATCAGTGTTCATCAGGGATATTGGTCTATAATTTTTTCTTATGATGTCCTTGTTCAGCTTTGGTGTCAGGGTAAATACTGGCCTTATAATAAGAGTTTGGAAGAGTTACCTCCTCTTCTATTTTTTTTGGAAGACTTTGAGAAGGATTTGTATTCTTGAGTGTTTGGTAGAATTCACTAGTGAATCCGTCTGGTCTTGGGAGGTTTTTTGTTTCTAATTCAATCTCTGTATTAATAATCAGTCTTGTTCAGATTTTCCATTCATTATTCAGTCTAGGTTGTATGTTTCTAGGAATTTACCCCTTTCTTCTAGGTTGTCAAATTTGTTAGCATATAATTTTAGTCTCATCCATTGTACTTCTGTGGTATCAGCTATAATGTCTCATCTTTAATTTCTGATTTTGTGTTTCCTTTTTTTGATGAATCTAGCCAATGGTTTGTCAAATTATCTTTTGAAAGAACCAGCTCTTGGTTTCATTGATCTTTTCTATTGTCTTAGTCTCTATCATTTCACTTATTTCTGCTCTGATCTTTCCTTTCTTCTGCTAACTTTGGGCTTTCTTCATTCTTTTCACAGTTCCTTGAGGTGTAAACTTAGGTAGTTTTTTGGAGATGATTATTATTTACTGATATAGGCATTTATCACTGTGAACTTTCCTCTTAGAATTGCTTTTGTTGCATTCTACAAATTTGGTAAGTTGTATTTTCATTTGTCTGAAGATATTTTTGATTTCTCTTTTGATTCCTTCTTTGACCTACTGATTGTTCAGTAGCATGGTATTTAATCTTTACATACTTGTGAATTTTCCGGTTTACTTCTTGTACTTGATTTCTTGTACTACTGTGGTCAAAGAAGATGTTTGATATAATTTCACTTTTCTAAAATTTATTAAGACTTATTTTGTGACCTACATATTATCTATTTTGGAGACAGTCCCATGGGCACTTGAAAAGAACGTATATTCTGCTTTTGGATGAAATGTTCTGTATATGTCTGTTAAATCCATGTGGTCTAACATGTCATTTAAGGCTGATATTTCCTTATTGATTCTCTGTCTGGATGATCTACCATTGAGGTAAGTGGGGTATTAAAGTCCCCTACCATTACCATATTGCTGTTTCTTCCTTTAGGTCTGTTAATATTTGCTCTATATATTTTGTTACTCCTAGGTTAGGTACATAAGTATTTACACATTTTAGATCCTTTTGTTGAAGTGACCTCTTTATCATTATGCAATGCTCACTTTTGTCTCTTATTACAGTCTTTATTTTCAAGTCCATTTTGTCTGATACAAGTATAGCCACCCCAGTTTTCTCTTGGTTTCCATTTGCTTAGAATATCTTTTTCCATCCCTTCACTATCAGTTTGTGTGTGAAGGGAGTCTTACACTTAGCCTGCATCTGAAGTGAGTCTCTTATAGGCAGCATATAGATGGGTCTTGTTTTTTTATCCTTTTAGCCACTCTGTGTCTTTTGATTGGAGAGATTAGTCAACTCATAAAGTAACCATTGGTAGTTCGTATTAATAGTACTTAATGTCATTTTGTTAATTCTTTTCTGGCTGTTCTATGACCACTAAGTGGTATACTTAGGTTATTTTTATGTTGTGTATATGTACTATAGGTTATTGCTTTGTGGTTACCCTGAGGCTTACATATAACAGTCTACTTTAAGCTGATAATATTTTTTTTTTAATTTTTTTTTCAACGTTTATTTTATTTATTTTTTGGGGGACAGAGAGAGACAGAGCATGAACAGGGGAGGGGCAGAGAGAGAGGGAGACACAGAATCGGAAACAGGCTCCAGGCTCTGAGCCATCAGCCCAAAGCCTGACGCAGGGCTCGAACTAACGGACCGCGAGATCGTGACCTGGTTGAAGTCGGACGCTTAACCGACTGCGCCACCCAGGCGCCCCTAAGCTGATAATATCTTAAGTTTGAAAGCATTCTAAAGCTCTACATTTTGACCACTCCCCCCACTCCACATTTTACATCTTTTTATATCTCTTAACTAGTTACTGTGGTGATAGTTGTTTTTCGTACTTTTAACCTTCATACTAGCTTTATAAGTGATTAATCCACTACCTTTACTATATATTTACCTTTACCAGTGAGATTTGTACTGTTCTATGTGTCCTTGTTACTAATTAGCGCCGTTTCTTTTCAGTTTACAGGGTCCCTTTAACATTTCTTTTAAGGCCAGTTCAGTGGTAATAACTTCTATCTTTCCAATTATTTATTTGTTTGTTTATTTACTCTTGTGAGATAGAGAAACACACAGAATCTGAAGCAGGCTTCAGGTGCAGAGCCTGACTTGGGGCTCGAACTTAAGAACCGTGAGTTTATGACCTGAGCTGAAGTCAGACACTTGACCAATTGAGCCACCCAGGCGCCCCCATCTCTCCAATTCTTAATGACAACTTTGCCAGGTAGAGTATTCTTGGTTAGTTTTTCTTTCAGCACTTTGTATCGTGTTAGTCCCTTCTGGCCTGCAGAGTTGCTGCTGAAAAATCCCGTCTAAAGGTGGTTCCCTTATATATAACAAGTTACTTTCGTCTTGCTGCTTTCAAGATTCTCCCCTTAACTTTTGACATTTTAATTATAACGTGTCTTAGTATAGGTCATGTACTCACAAGAGGCCTCTGGGCTCCTTACTTCTAGGTGTATTGTTAGGGTGGAGGCTGCTAAGTCTGCCCTCCAGATAATCCAGCCATATCTTGCTGGATCATATTTTGAGAGAGAATTACTAACAGATCAGGTTTGTCACAAAAGTCAGATGTCAAACCTCTCGTCCCTGTTCCTACATGGCAATTTTGAAATCCTTTTACAATTGTGTCAGAGCTGTCTTTGAGTACAAAGTCTGACTTGTGTGGCTCTAGAATATAGATGGTGCCTGGCATAACATGTTCAATAAATAATGACTAGATTCTCTCTCCCCCACATCCTTTCTTGGTACCACTGAACTCCCAAGTGAAGCTCTTAAAGGAACATACTAGTTCTTAGACATGGCCCAAAAAGCACTCAGTTCAACTCTTTTAAAATGAGTAATTATTGGGGCGCCTGGGTGGCGCAGTCGGTTAAGCGTCCGACTTCAGCCAGGTCACGATCTCGCGGTCCGTGAGTTCAAGCCCCGCGTCAGGCTCTGGGCTGATGGCTCAGAACCTGGAGCCTGTTTCTGATTCTGTGTCTCCCTCTCTCTCTGCCCCTCCCCCGTTCATGCTCTGTCTCTCTCTGTCCCAAAAATAAATAATAAAAAACGTTGAAAAAAAAATTAAAAAAAGAGTAATTATTAACCAAAATGAGAGGAAATCAGAATTATCAGGTATATTACCTTCCTAGGCTGGTTAGAAATGTCTTTTGTTAGGATCCTGATGCAGAAGGAAGCAAGGAGGAGATTTTGACTTGTGTACCTTGAGATCAACTTGAAGTCAAGAATATTTCACATAAGACTTGCCACACCAGGACCATCAAAAGCAAGAAATGTGATGAGAATCTGTCTACCAGTCTTGTATCCAAGGACATGAGTGGACAAGTCAGGGAAACATATCTATTTCACTTGACAACTATGCTTTGTTGCAGAAGGGAAGACAGGCCAAAGAGCTTGGAGCTTTGGAGGAAATTTTAGGTCCTTAGGTTCAAGGTATGTTTATTTTTAACTGCTACTTTAAGAGAGATTCCAAGAAATCCTCTTTGACCATATTTATATCCTTTTACTTCTAAAGAGGCTTCATTTAAAGAAAAAAAATATGGCACAGTTCATAATCAGGAACACTTTAGCCCCTATGGGCAAGAACAGATGGTAGCTGTTTTGCTTCAGTGCCCTGGCAGTCCTCTTCTCCCAGTCATGTCTAGAAAGTTCGTGAAGGCACACATGTGGCTGGCTTGCCAGGCCCACCACAGGCCCTCAACAAATACTTGAAGACCTGAGACAACACTCTAGGCAGGGCAGCTTGGTCCACTTACGTCTCATCGAACAGAGGTTCCAGGGTCTTCCTTTTCACTGAGGTTTTCTTACGACTTGCCCACCTCCTTTCTGGTAGCAAGTACACACGGACATAGGGATCAGCTCCACTGCTGGTGCAGGGTGTCAGGTTTCTGATTTGGTTTCAAAGACATTAAAGAAAGTTTTAAAATACTGAAAAGACTCATTTGGAGAAAGCTATACTAGCCATGGAGCTCTAGATGGCTTTGAGGACAAAAATGGCCTGTCGTCTAGATGACCAAACAGCAACAGGCTGCAGATTTGAAGGACAAAACATCAGACGCATGATTTCAAAAGCGTGTGTGTGTGTGTGTGTGTGTGTTTTAAAGTAGGGAGGAGAGCAGGTACGTTGCATCTAAAGGAAGTAGGAGATTCCTACTTGAGAGAAGGTACTGGCTCCAAGTCACCCCAGACAGTTTTGCAGGGGTTATGTCTGAACAAAGCCCTTGGCTCTGGAGCCCGTCAGCATCATTGAGGACTTGTCATTCACAGCAGGCAGCCTTCAGCCCTCCCTCCTTCCCCGTGTATTACTTGTCTACCTCAGCCATGCCACCGCCTCCCCACCCCCCACTGCCATTGCTCCAAGCGCCTTCACTCTTTTGTTCACCTGATGCTCCCAGAGGCCTCTTCCTGGCCCCAGCATCTCGTTACCTGCAGCCGCTGATGAGCACACTGAGGCAGCGCCGCAGACACACATAGCGCACCGTGAGCCGAATCTCACCCAGCCTCCGCTGCCGGAGATCCCCGCCTCTGTAAAGAAAGGGCTTGTCACGTCCCTTGCCATTACGGGTGTTGGCCTCTCCCCCAACCCCAACGACAGAAGCATGTCCTGCTTTAGGAACATAGAGCCCTGTGGGTTAATAAAATAGCTCTCAGGTTCTTTTTGGTCTGAAGTCCGTTCCATCCATTCACATTAATTATCCTACTTTACAGTAGGAAGGATATGAACCTTGGAGTGGGATCTGTTTCTATACCATGATTTCCTGTGAAACCTTGGGTAAGTTATTCGACTTTTATGATAGTAAATTGTATCTCGTAGGCTAATCGTGAAGATGGAATTAAATAACATGCTAAGCCCATGGTAAACACTTTATATAAATCCCACATTCTAAGCTCTCCATATCATCCTCGTACACTTGAGAATTCAGGATATATTTCTGCGGTAAGGAACCTTCACTAGAGCCCAGCACCTGTTTTACAGTTGGTATGCATTTGCTCTCTCTCTCCCCCCTTTCCCCTGTGTTTCTAGCATACCATGCTGCCTCTCACGAAGCCATTCTGAAAGACCAGAACTTTTGCAGCAAAGTAAGTTTGTGTCTACTATTCTATCCAGGGATGGATTTTTCATGCATGTCATTTTAGAATAGATTAAGCAGAGAGGTGCATACTCAGTGTTGAGGCTGATATCTGTCAGGTCAAAGCAGGAGGAGGCCAGGGAGTTCAGCGAGGACATGCTGGGAGTCAGCCTCTTGGGCGGCCACGCAAATGGGGAGACAGGGCATTTCATGGGTCTGGGTGACTTGATGGGCCCTGGAGAGTGTGGGCCTGGGACAGTCAGGAAGATGGTGGCCGTACTCTTCTTCTTCCCCATGGGCTCACAGAACCCTTTGGCACTGTCCTTGCCTTTGGGCTCTGGGCCTGTCTCTTGGGGTGTGGGCTCGGTGGCAACAGTAGTGGCACTGGTGGTTGTCATGGTGCTCTTGGAGGCTTCCTTGGTATCAGAAACAGGGTCTGGGGGGCATGGCAAATTTTCAGGGCCCCCTCCCTGGGATGGGGTTTTGGGGTCCTGGTTGGTGTCCACCTTCTTAACGAACAGAGGACCTTTCTTTAGGGCTTCAGGTCCTGTGTATGGGCTCCCCATCTCTCGTTCTTCCACACGCAGGAACTGCAAGCAGATGACAGGGTTATGGGCTGGGCCCCCCTATCCACCTTCTCCTCCTCTGCTCTCATCTTAACCTCTGGGAAATGGTTCCTTCCTGACTGCCCAATCCTCTGGATTCTACCTCCCACCCCCACAACCCCACACCATATCTTCCTTAATCTCTCTTTGCCCCTGGGTTCCTGTAACCAAATATTCTTTCTCCCTTATTCCTGCCTCAGTCATGAGTCTTCATGAAGACTCAGTCCTGCCCCCACTCAAACTGGCTGGTGGAGACCTAGCTCACTCTTACAACATGCACTGTTCCTCTACGCAGAGGACTCCCAGATCTACACCTCCAGTCCTCTACTGCCTTCTGGATGGGGTCCTTTCCAGCTGTCACCCTATTCACCACTGCTTTCCCTAGAACAGTTCCTGTCCACATATACCCCTGTGCTCCTACCACCAAAATTTCAGACCTCAGCAACTATGTTTCTTCCCCGTTAGTCATCAAGACTGTTCCTAGGGACTTCCATTTCTAGCAATGTGGTGGTCAAAATATTCTGAAAAATCTCATTAGGAATGTCTAATAAAATGAAACAAACATCCTTTTAAATGCGTTGCCAAATTCACAAGAAAGGAGGGAAAGCCCCTGGGGTGACTGAAAAACGAAGGCTAAGCTTTCCTAGGGTGGTTTATCAACCTTGAAAATTCAAGGGGTAAGGAGAAGAGGCCTCGGATCAATGTGAGGCTGGGAGTTGAAGTGGGAACCATGAAGGTGCGATCTCTAGGGGCAAAAAGTAGTCTAGGATAAACATTCCACCCCCCAGGAAAGACTGATAAGAAATATGTCTGTCTCAGCCTGTACTCTGGTGGGGGGAACTGAAGACTTTCCTGAGAATATGGCACCTTACAGGACTGTCTTATATGAATTTTGGTTCTTATTTTTACCTGTGGAATCTTGAAACCTAAAATTTTTAAAATAACCTAAGAATGGACCCTAGGTTTGTAATGCTCCCGAGGTGCTTGGTTATAGTAAAACGGAACCTCGCTGGAAGCAAACAGCTTCAGTCCAGGTCCCAGAACACTGAACGTATGTTTGCAACCCAAGTTACCAAGCACAGAAAACAGATACAACAACCGTCAAAATCTAACTCAAGATCTTAAGATATAATGTGTACCTGTGAATTCTAACGTAAGTATTTTCAAATGACTGAAGATGGAATAGAAACATCATAATAAAATACTATGAAAAAAGATGACAGAGATCTGAGGAAATTTAGAATGTAGCACCAGGAGATAAAGAAACAGAAAATATGACAGTGAGGTCAGGTCGGGACATGGAGGAGGTGGTGGTCCAGTGTAAGAATTCTAGAAGGAAGGATTAAAAGAATGGGAGACGCAATATCTGAAGGGATAATGGCTGACCATATTCCAAAGTTGACGAAAAACAGCACTCTATCTCCTAGCTTCTTCTCGGCACAGAGCAGGTACTTAGTGCTGGGATAGCCCACCTTGTTCCACAGCCAGAGCTCCACCCCTCACCTACCCTGGGGCACAAGAAGGGATGTTTACCCGAAGCACTAGCCTCATGGAGATGAGGCTGTCCAGGCCTGAGTGGTCCAGCTGAAAGCGCTGCTCCAGGGTGAGGTCTGTATAGGGTAGAATCTGGCACAGGGGGAACTCCAGCACTCCCAGAGCACACTCCTGGTCATCATCAAGCACCTGGGCAGTGGGCCAGTCAAAAAACAGGGTAACGCAGCCTCAGACCCACCACCGCCTTTCCTGAGTCTCAGTTCGCCTAAGTAAGCACTGTGCTTCTATTGGCCCCTGGCCCTGTTCTGAAAACCTGGGACTGGGACCAGGCCTGGTCCCAGTTTGCAGTCAGGGTAGAGGCAGTTATGATCTGTATGAGGCAGGGGCCAAATGCCCATGGCCACAGGGGCTTTAAGGGCTGATGAGCTGAGCTGCTCCATGAGGAGACATCCGGACAAGGCTGAGGGCCCCCAAAATTTGTTGGGTCATGAAATCTTGGACGAGTCATTGTTTGAGCCTCTATTTGCTCACGTGTAAAATAAAGAAGGTATCTCTTTTCCACAGATAGTTTTGAAGATTAAGTTATTGTTTTAAAGAAGTACATCATCATTGACGTCCAGGGAGGATTCCAACACAGGCCCCTCTGGGTGCTATGTAAAACCGGAAAGACTTGCAGGGAGAGAGCCAAGGGACGTGAGGGTTCGCCCTTCCACAGCCCTCTTCGCCCACCCACCAGCCCGTGAGGATGCGGGGCCTCCACATCCTCTCCCACACACACAGGCTGACTTCACCACTGGGAACACCTGCCTGAGGTGCACTTCAAGCTCCCCACCCCTCCTGCCGTAGACACCTCTTAGCCTTGTTCCAAGACCCGAACTTGACACAAACCTTCAGATGCAGCTCCTCGGCTGCCACGTCATACACAAAGAAGGAGAACACCTGGCTCCACACGGGGTCCTTGGTGTGGGGACAAGTCTGGGGATGGAAGAGAGAAAGATCGCTGAAGGGTCAGGATGGGCAGAGCAGGGTGCAGGCACCCTCTGCTCGCATCTGGCCACTCACCAGCACTGCCTGGGGGTCAGACCCACCCACACGGCTTCTGGGAGACTTTAGGGTGGGGCAGCCAGGTTCATAGGCATGGAGAGCTTTCCCAGGAAGGTTGGGGGTTTAATTTACTTACTTAAATTCAAGTTAGTTAACATACAGTCTAGTATTGGTTTCAGGAGTAGTGATTCATCACTCACGTATGACACCAGTGCTCATGCCAACAAGTGCCCTCCTTAATGCCCATCACCCATTTAGCCCATCCCCCCCCCACAACCCCTCCAGCAGCCCTCGGTTTGTCCTCTGTATTTAAGAGTGTCTTAGGGTTTGTGTCCCTCTCTGTATTTTATTTTTCCTTCCCTTCCCCTATGTTCATCTGTTTTGTTTCTTAAATTTCACATACGAGTGAAATCATATGATATTTATCTTTCTCTGACCTTTTTCACTTAGCATAGTGCACTCTAGCTCCATCCATGTTGTTGCAAATGGCAAGAATTCATTCTTTTTGATCTCCAATATTCCAGTGTGTGTGTGTGCATATATGTATATGTACATGTACATGTATATATACATAGATAGATCTTCTTTATCCATTCATCAGGCAATGGAGATGTGGGGTCTTTCCCTAAACTGGAAGTTGTATGGGGCTAAAAGCATAGCAGCACTAGAGCTCACTTCCAGGGGAGGGGCCAACAGGACTTCCAGGGCTTTCTAGCATGTGCCCTTAGGTCAGTCACTCCATCTCTGACCCGCAGGTTCTTGAACTGTGCAACTATTTTGTGAGGTTGTTTTGAAGACACCGGGCCTAGAACGTGTCCTGACACCTATGAACACTGTTCTGTTCTCTAATCCCCTGCCCTTTTGCTTCTCTCCTGTAAGGGGTGGGGCCCTCACTGTCCCATGGCTACACACCGAACTGTCTCACCTTGCTCGTTTGTGTCTTCTTGCCTACAGAGAGCTTGACATAGGAAGAAGGGTCTCTGCTCACTTTATTCTGTGGGGAACAGATGGACAACAATGAAAGTGGTACCAATGGTCTGAGACACCACCCTGACCAGCCTCACCTCCCAACCCCCAGGAGCATCAGTGGGACCTGGGGCCAGCCAATTGCTTCCCTCTGACAGAAGGCTACCCTGGTGCCCCCAGGTCCCTGGGCTGCCATCACTGTGAGCTCTAGGAAAGGGCTAACCCCAGGGGAGGCTCCAAGGTAAAGACAGGAGGCCCAGAGCTGGGCCTGGTTGAGCACACGCTCTTGTTCCCTCGAGCTATGGAGGCAGACAAGTTCTGGCTCTTCCTTTACCTTGTGACCTAGGTACTTAACGTTTCAGGTGCTACTTGTAAAATGGCAACAAAACGAGACACACTCATCATGGGACTCGGGCATAACGAACGTGGGGGGTGGGTTGCAAAGCCCAGCGCCTGGCACACGGCAGACGTGGTGAATGGCACTCTTGTCATCCCTAGGCTGTGTGTGCACAGACGGTCACCCAGAAGACAGGGGCTGTGGTTACTCTGAGGAAAAGGTGCCATGACTGGCTTTCACTTACCTTGGTAAACCTAGGGAGTTTTTTGGCTCGATATTCACCATTCAGGTAGTCAAAGGGGTTTCTCTGCAGCACAAGAATAGGATAAATGAATGACCCATGGACATTTGCAAGAGACGGGCACAAGGCAAAGGTGTATGTGACACTGGGCATGGCACCACTCACCGGCAGGTTGCAGGCACTCTCCAAGAAAACCACGAGGATGGCAGTTGAAAGGCCACTATGGTCCTACAAGCACACACAGACTCTCACTCACTGGGTGCTGAAGCATTAGGAGACACAGACTTTTGGAGAAGCCTATTCACGGCAGAAGGAAGCTAGCTAGCCAGACCTTGAACTCCAGACAAGCCCTACGATTGCCCACAACCTAGCTTTTTGTTGAGACTGAATCTACAACTGCAGCATGTCAGATTCAAGTCGGACACAGGGGTGGACTTCCTCAGGAACTGGGCTGACCAGCACTGACAGAGCTTTTAAGGATCCCATCTTCCCCGAAGATGGCTGAGCTGCTCCGAGACTGCTGAGAGATCAGGAGCTGCCTGGTGTGGAGCTGAGGCCGAGGGACAGGTTCTGCCGAAGGTGGGGCTGGCTGGATGATTCTGTGAGCAAGATCTGGGGGCTTCATCTCGCCCCCTTCCACAAAGCTCATACAGGGACTGGCCGCCAGCCTCCGCACACCTTTCTGGTAGGGAACGCTGACACCCCACCCTTACCTGGGTGAAAGCTTCCGGGCTGGCGATCAGTGAAAGCCACTCCAGCTGCAGGTGCAGCCGCCCACTGGTTGTGTCGTTCAGGACAAACCACTGCAGGAGGAGGGGGAGGAGGGGGAGGAGGGAGGAGGGTGAGGAGGGAGGACGGCTCCAGGAAAGGCCCACTGAGATGCTACCAACCCTCTTCAAGCAGTTCAATTCTGGGACCTGGTGGAGCCCTAATAGGGGCTTTAGGGCAAAGATGGCCCAGCAGGGTGGTGTGGGCTCTGGGCTTGAGGGAATGGGAGATGTGGTTATAGAAGGCCAGAGCACTACACTTTGAGATGGAAACAAGAATGTCCATGGGGGGAGGGGGGGTTGCAGGCTCGACTCTACCTCATCCACCACTCTGTTCGTCATGACATCCCCAAGGCAGATCTGCAGGCTGGAACACACAGGGAGTCGGCTTAGCTCCAAGCAGGCAGGAAGCAGCATATCCGAGGGCGGCCCTCAAGACAGGGGACCTTAGGGGTGCCTGGGTGGCTTAGTTGGTTGAGCATCCAACTCTTGATTTTGGCTCAGGTCATAATCTCACGGTTTGGTTTGTGAGCTCGAGCCCCACGTCAGGCACAGCAGACAGCATGGAGCCTGCTTGGGATTTTCTCTCTCCCTCTCTCTGCACCACCCCCCCTTCTCTTGCTCTCTCTCTCTCTCTCTCAAAATACGTAATGTAAAAAAATGGTTTATACTCTCTGAGGAAAAAAAAGACGGGATCTTATTCATCTCAAGGCACCAGTGGTAAAGCGCTTGCCGCTCAAGCAAATGAAGGCCAGTCAGCAGGTGGCTCCAATCCCCAGAGGAGAACATGAGCAGAGGCTGCTGGGCACACTGGCTCTGGATTCCCCAGTGACAGTACTATCTATGGGCATTTTGAACAGGATGATTCTTCTTTGTGAAAAACTGCCCATGCGTTGCATGGGTTTAGCTCCCCGATCCTGTGTCCTCTAAACACCCGTAGCACCGCCTCCCACAGTCATCATTAACGACCCCCAGGGCCCATCCATTTCCAACACTGCCCCAGGTGCCCTCCAGGGGATAAGTCTGGTTGGCATGTGTATGACAGGAGGTGACGGAGACCTAACCTGACTGCAGCCCAAACACAAGACCCTGATAGCCAGGGGGAGGGGGGTGGAGATTAAGCCTGTGTGACTGTTAGAAATGTGCTTGAGCTCAGCACACGCTGGAAATCAGTAACATGCAGCATGAACTACAAGCCACACTTCTCATCTGCAACAACACAAAAACTGCAGCTTTTTCCATTAAGAAGAGAAGGAAAAGAACATCTGGTGGGGAGCTGTTTCTATAGGTGGCAGATGGCACCCCTCCCACTTTGTTTTGTTGCTTTTAAAATTACATGCTCGTGGAAACCAGCTAAACAATACAGGAGCAAGAAAGATTTGGGTGTAACTCTCTTTTCTGCCTCCTCATCCCAGGCTCCCTGAGGCGAGCGGTGTGAACAGTCTGCTGTGTGTCTCCTGTGCCCTTCTCTGTGCTCACACATACATACTCCGGGGTCCTCCCTGGAGACATGAAACCGCACAGGCCACACCCGGCTCCCGCCCCCTCCCCCCTCCTCACCCCTCCAACCAAGTCTTCCAGCTCAACACAGACAGACCCTGCTCATCGTTTTTAAAAGCTGCAGAATATTCTGTAGTTTGGCAATGGCAAATCTATTCAAACACTCGACCAATATCCTCTGAGGCTGGACATTTGTGTTTCCAGCCACCACAATTCTGCTCATTGCAGAGCACCCCACGTATAATGGTCTGACTTTATGGGAGATTCCTGGAAGTGGGGCTGCTGGGCCAAAAGACATGTAAGTCTGAAGTTTTGATGGCCAGCCCCAGCCCCACCATCTCAGTCCCCCCACAGCCCTGAGTTTGCGTTCTGCCCCAGAGCGAGAGGCCAGGACTCCTTGGCACTGGGAACCTGACCATCCACGCCGGCCCCACCCCTGCACCTGCTCTGAACAGAGAGTCTAGCTACCACACCAGAACTGCAGGACGCAGAGCCCATGGGACACAAACCTTGGGGCCCTCTGCATCCCCGTAGTCCAGCTCAGGGCTGGGCACTCAGGAGACACCTAGGAAGGAGGTTAGTAGCAGGAACGTGGAATGACAGAGCAGGCTGCCTAACGCAGTCACTGTGTCAGGTGACTGCGTGCTGGAGGCGAGGGTGCTGTGGCCCGAGGCCTGGCCCAGTGCCCCTGCGCCCAGCTCAGCCCTCCTCCTCACCTGCCCAGGAAGTCGTCCCTATCGGGATCCTCGTCATACAGGTCCACCTCCAGGTCCTGCCCAGGGACTTCGTACACTATAAACTGGAACAAAAGATAGGATACTTGATCTGCAGGCCGCAACAGCTGATGAAGCCGACCTCAAGCATGACCCAGGGAGAGCCCAAGTCCAGCCCCACCTGCCAGCTCAGAGCCCTGGGCAGTTTCCTGCCTTCAAAGCCTCTGGAGAACCCCACCTGTAAGAAGGGAGTGATGTCCTCCCCTGCGGGATGGGGAGGACGGGGGTCGGTGCTCAGGGGACAACGGCTGCTGTGTGTTCTGCATGGGGCTCGCAGCTTCTGGAGCACTTCATAGGCTGTGGGTGCTACCTTCAGGTAGTAGGGATTGTGGGTGAATTTAAGAACTTTAAGCTCCTGGTGTGAGGCTCTGGCAGCAGGGGAGGCTGGGAGGATTGGGGCAGAACTGACTCAGGTTCTTTGATTTGAAAAATTCCAACAAATCTGACTGTGATGGGGAAGGGAGGTGGGAATTCATTTATGAGCTGTTCCTCCAGCAGGGCCACGGCAGCCCACCTCTGAAGCCTGATGGATGTGGGAAGGAGGAGTGATGCAGGCCACCCTGCGTGTCCCCAAGGCTGCTCCTCCGGCCCGGTGTTGCCACATGGGTGTGTGAGGCCCTCCCTTGTTTGCACCCAGCATGACCCAGTGTGGAGCCCGGAGGGCATCAAAAGTAGCCGAGGAGACCCTCACCTCAAATACCTCATTCCAGGTGGGGTTCAGGTTCTTGTAGATGGTCCTGCTCCGGAAATGCTGTAGGCCAATGCTCACCTTGGCGTAGGGGTCTGACTTGCCTCGGATCCCCAGGAAGTTGTCCTTCTGAGCCAGCTTCTCTGCTTCCAGCAAGTGGACTCTGATCACTCCCTGGAAAATGCCCCAGCCCAGGGCTCACAGCTGCTTTCTGGGCTATGCCCGCCCCCAAGGCCCACAGCATCAGGGCCAAAGCCATCAGACATCATCCCAGCCCCGTCTCAGTGTCTCTGTGGTCTAGATGGGAGACAAGCCAGATATGGCAGTTTCCTTGCCAAAGCCATGCAGCAAGTGATGGCAGGGCCCAGGGCTCTGTCCACTCATCACCATGCCCTGCCCCCATTCCTGGCCTTCAACCTGCCATGCGAATGGCTTGTTTAGCCACAGCTATTTCCTCCTGTGCTCAAGACCACCATCGGAGGAGGCTGCCTCCTGGATTCCCCCTCTCTAGAGGGGAACAAAGTTCTAGTCATTTCCTCCTGAGGCCCAGGTGTACACACCCCCGTGGGCACTGCGTGCGGCTGGCAGTGTGCTCATAAAGGCCCCACACTCTGGGCTTTGTCCTCAGACAGAATGGATCGCAAGAATTAGGAAGTACACTTCACGGGGCCAGGAGGCCTCCTGCCTAGAACTGTGTTTTTAAGTATCAGTAGATACATGTACGCTTAGGATGAGCACTAAGTACCGTATAGAACTGCTGGGTCACTATATTGTACACCTGAAACTAACACAACACTGTATGTTACCTGTATTGGAATTAAAATAAAAAAACAGCGACAGATACACAGGCATTTACCCTTTGACCCAGCAATCCCACGTCTAGCCTTAAAAGTATACTGCCAAAACTCAAAAAACACACATCCAAGGCTATTCGTGACAGTGCTATTTGTAATAGCAAGAGATCAACACAGCCCATTCAATAACCCCCTGCACACACACACCATGGAGTACTGGGCCGCCGTAAGCAGGAAAGAGTTAGGGCCCTGTCTACCCTGTCACGGAGCGGTGTCCATGACATACGGAGTGATAAAAGCAAGGTGGAGAAAACTAGGTTGCTGCCATCCATCAAAAAAGGGGAATATGACCATCATCAGATATGCACACACAACCATATCTGCAATATATCTGCAGCTGCTCATTTTAGAAAACCAGCAATGAACAGTGGAAGGATAAACCATTACTTAAGGGGGATGGTGGAGGTCAGGTGCAGGGAAGAAAGGATCGAAACCAGACCCCTTAAGATAGAATCCATTTTTTATGTTGGACTTCGGAAGATTGCAAATATCTTACATGACTGTAAAAGGAAGTTACGATAAAAATTCAGCCCTAAAAATAGAAAATGGAATGAAACCAATGTAAATGTTCACGGCCAGTTGTCGCAAACACGCAGAAAGAACTACTCCAAGTGAGTTTAAATGGTAGCAACTTTCCAGGACCTCTCGCTATCCCCTGAGGGCAGATTGTTTTCAGTAACAGAGGTGTAGGTGATGGGGTTGTTTGTTATTCTAAGTTGGCCAAACTCAGCCTGGGGAGGCTGAGAGGATGTATGTGCTGCCACCCTGCTCACCCTGGGCCTCACCCCGGTGCAGCCAGAGCAAGACGATGCCTCTTACCTGGTGCTGGTGGAGAAATGGGCACGCACCCCTCTCCCGAGCCCCGACTCGCAGCCCTGAAGGGCACCTTCTGTAGGGAGGCCATGTGGCTGTCCTCAGGGGCCTCCCAAGCAAGGCCCAGGATGTGGGGGGTAGGGGCAGTGGGACTGAGCACACAGGAAGGCCCACGTCCTGGCTCAACTGAATGTTCTTCCCAGTGTATCCCAAGGATTCTTTCCACCACCAAATAATGGAGTTGGGGGAGTCTTGTGTCCCTGAAGGGAGGATGGGAATCTCCTAGAGTTTCCTGGGGGCAGGGGTGACTGCCCATAGCCCCCAACCCATGCTGCACAGGTAGGGGGTGGTGAGGGGGGACCAGCATCCAGGAAGGAATGCCACCTGGGTTCCGCCCCTCCCTAGATGGGTGGCTTTGGGCAAGTCAGTCAGTCTTCCAACGCTCGGTCCTCGCCCGATCAAACGAAGATGCCGTGCTCTCACAGGGCAGAGACAAGGCTTACCAACTGAGAATGCGTTCCCTCCTCCAGCCTGAGAGTCCCTCAGCTCTGGGCCCAGTGCTCTGTGGCCAGTGCAGGTACTCACGCAGGGCAGAGGAAAGAGCAGGTTGGTCACATCCAGCCCCTTCTTCACAGGCACAGTCACGCGGTTGGGCAGCACCAGGTGGGCGGCAATGAGGTCCTCCAGCAGGCTGTCTGACACCTCGCTGGGGACAGTGGGCATGACCAGCTGTAAAAGCCGCCCACCGCTCCACCCGTCATCCCCAGAGCTCAAACCAGGAGCAGAGCGTGGTGGGGTGGGCCCCGCCCAACAGGGAACATCCCTGTCCCCAGCCTGCCTGGCTGGTGGGGGTGCGGGAAGATGCAGGGTTTATGTTTTGACAGCCCCTGACCACCACCCTCTCAATCCCGCTCTGTTCTCTGAGGCATCCCAGCGTGGTAGCTAAGGGATGGCCTGGAGCCTGTGTGCAAATCTTGGCTCCACTACCCATGAGCTGTGTGACCTTGGGTAAGTCGATGACCTCTCTGGACCTGTTTCCTCATCTCAGAGAACAGCACCTGGCGCACAGTAAGTGCTAGCTAAGTGTTTGCTCCCGTATCTCTTCTACTGGCTGACATCCCATCAGAGTTCTCTGCTCACTGCCTGACTCCCTCTCCCCAGCAGAGGAGCAGGGACAGTGCCTGGAACAGGCCTGGCATGCAGAGCGGGTGCTCAGGAAATATCTGTTGAATGAAACAATGCGCCACTGGATTCTCTGCACCCAGGGGGCCGGGAGCAGTGGGATCGTCCCCAGGGAGCGAGCCAGTGGTCCTCCCCACAGGCCAGGGAGCTGCCTGAGCCCGGGGAGCCTGCTGGTGCTTGCCCTGGCCAGTCCAAACGTCCCTGACGCCTGGGACACGTGTCCAAGTGGGCCTGGAGCCCTCTCCTGCTCCTCCCAGGGGGCCTGAGGCTCTGAGTGCGGCCCTGCCACGGCCAGTCCCAGGAAGGGACATAGAAGAACTGGGCTCCCCTTTCACTGAGGAAGAGCCCAGAGAAGTCACACAGTTGCTGAACAACAGAGCCAGAGAGTCTGTACTCTCTCATTAGCCCACACAGCCTCCCCCAGGACATCTCCTGTGGCCAGTGTGTGCCCGTGCGTTTGAGCGTGCGTGTGTGTGTGTGTGTGTGCATGTGTGTGTGTGTGCGTGTGTGTGTGTTTTCTAGGTGCGGTGTCTGCCCACAGAGGCCAAGCAACACTGTTAGCCTCCTGGTCCCACTCCGAACACACCAACACATTTCCCCCCAGAGCAGGGACAGCTTGGTGCCACCCGCTCCTCACACAGGAACCGGGAGGGAGGGCACAGCCGAGGTGCAGCTCCAGTCACCGGATGCCCGTCTCTGGAGGGCCTCACTCTTAGGATCTGCCTGGCAGCTCTTGCAGTGCACTCACTTGATTCCTGGAGCGTCCAGCAGGTTGGTCAGGCCTGTCCAGTTGATCTGCAGGTGCTGCAGGGGCAGAGGGAGGCTGTTAGGCTGGAAGAAGCCAGAAGCCCAGGGCTGGGTCCCTCTGCCAAGCGCCTCACACCTGCCAGCCCGGGGAACCCAGCCTGCTGGTGGTGGTGGGACCTCTGCAGGGGCGTCAGGCAGGTGAGGGCACCTCTCAGTCTTGCTTAGGCCTTGGCTTGGGTGGCTGGGGCCGCGAGGCCCGCTGCTCTCCTGCCAGGACCACACGGGAGAGCAGGGCACACGGCCACAGGCCGGCCTGGACTGAGAGGTCTGGGTTACACCGTCTCCACCTCGGTCCCCCTGTGTGACCTCGGCAAGCTACTCTCCCGAATGTTTCCTGGTCTCAGGGAGAGCAGAGCCGAGCACCTCAGGCTGCCTTAGATGACATGAGACGAGCAGTTGGAGCAGCCAGTCTCGCCGGCCTTTGGCAGTTCCATTCTGGGACTCAGACCGGCTCCTGGGGCCCAGCAGGTGAGTGCTTTCTCACAGGGAACCACAGGCCTGTGTCTTTCCCTGGGACTTACTGGCTTCTGAAGGAAGAACACGGTCACGGCTCCCACGAAGGGCTTGTCCACCAGGAGGGGCTCCAGGATGATCCGCAGTGTGCCCTGCAACTGGGTGGGCACAGGGGGCCGGTGTGGGACCTCAGCCCCACTCCCCCCTGCACCTGCTGTGCTCTGCCGAGGCCACCCCCAAACATCAGGGCCACCTGCTGTTCCAATAGGGACCACACTTGGGAAACAGAAATCTGCACACAGCTGTCACGCCTCTGCCGGCTACCAGGGGCCCCGAGCTAGCCACCACTGCCTTCCACGGGTGCGGAGGGCAATTTACTTTACCTCTTGCCCACGTTTCAGGCCAGCCCAGCCAGCAGGGACCCAGCTCCCATATTACTCCTCTACCACAAGAGATCTCCACCTCCCCCTCCAACCGCGTCATTTCTAAGCACTGGTTCTGCATCACTCCATGAACAGAACCTTTCCCTTCCCTGGGCAGCTGATGTCGCCCTGGGGGGACTGTACAGAGGCAGGTGTGGGGCCATGGGGCCAAGCAGCAGGTTAATAAGGCCTAGACACCTCTTCACGGCCAGGCGACCTCAGGCCTGGAGTCCCTTGATCATCGTCAGCCTGTATTTGGTGTCTGCACCTTTTCTGCAGCCTGCTCCAGCATGAGCCCACTTCCCCCTGCCCAGCCTCCCACCCCAGGAGCAGGGATGGGGGGTGGGCAGTCCCACCAGGCTCCACATACCTGGATCCCGTTCACGCCAGCCTGTATCTTCTGCAGCTCTGCACTGATCTCACAGTCCCCGATGTAGCTGAAAGTGGGGAGGGACGAAGGGCAGGTACACCACTCAGAGAGATCAGGAAGCTTGCCCAGCACCACACAGCCCAAGTCCAGGCAGCCACCCACCAAGCCTGAGCCCCGTGTCACCTGGATATGGCCTCCCTAAAAGCCTTAGCCTTTCTCAGCTCTGCAAAAATACCAACGTGAGCCCAGACCCTGGGAGGCAGCTGCACGGGTCCTTTCACCCAGGTGCCTCATGAATATCCTCCCTACCTCTGCCCACAAGGGTGGTGACTGTGGTCACCACTTTGCCCCATGACACCCCGAAGATGTGAAGGGGGGGCTCTCGATGAACATACTACCCAGTCCTCCGCTACTGCTGTGTGCCTGCCCCGTCCCTGTTCAGGTCTCTTCCCCAAGGACACAGAAACCTGAGTCTAGCTGGCAGCACTTACCAAGTAATGGGCACAGGGAGCCCAGATGGGCGCCTTGGAGGGTAAGGATCATAGGACTCTGTCAAAGGGTCCTCTAAGGGGATAGAGAGCGGGGAGGCTTTAAATATCTGCAGGACAGGCAGAGAAGCTGGGTATCACAGAAATGCTGAGTACCCTCTGAAGAGGAGGGGTTGGGGCGGGGGGGAACTGTCTGAGCTGACTGAGAAGCTGAGTGCCAGATGACCCTGATGTGCCTCAACTATTCATGCAAGGATCCTGTGGCGGAGCTTTGGAGCCAAGAATGACCAACAGCCAACATCATCCCAACACACTTGAGACCAGCCCTCAAATGGGGATGGGTGTTCCCAGAGTTGACTCTTGTCTTCCCAATATGCTCTCGGTGCCAGCCTCTGGGCTAAGGACAGGAAATGAGGAACTGGAGAGGAATGGCAACAATCTGGAACTTTAGGAGTTGATCCTTGGTCCTTTAAAGCACAGTTCAGATCTCACCACCTCCAGGAAGACTTCCTGGATTGAATGTCCCTTCTCTCAGACTCAAGCCTGCTACAAACATCATTCCAAAGAGGCTCCTTTGCCCAACGCACTGAACTAGTCACTCATGTGTCTTTGCATCCTTGTTTTCCTGAGGTGCCACGACTCCAGTTCTCCCACAGATTTCTCACAGCCTGTGCTCAGAGCTCCCTGGGCTTTACCACAAGTCCCCATATCTTCTTGCCATACTTGCTCCCTCTTTCTACATCCTCTTTAAGGCAGCTGGTCTGACCCTTCAGGTGACTAGCCCTGACTTCCAAGAAAGTTCTGCTGTCTGGGCCTTGGCACCCGGAGCATGCTTGGTGCCTAGTCTTATGGGAGGAGCTGGGCCTGGGCTGAGGGTCAAACAGCTGTGGCTTCCCTGGGACCATCCATTACTCCTGATAGTCTGCCCTGCTCCAGCCCAAGGTGGTGTGGGTATGTCTGTTGTGAGGCACTTTCACACCCCAAATTCGAGTGTAACTACGCTACTCTGTCCTCAAACTGACTGTTCTCACACAGGGTTCCCCTGTGCCCTACACCCGGCCCACAAAGGCAAGAGGGCTCACCATATCTGCAGGTCCAGGACCACCTGCCTTCGGTTGCGCTTGTTAGTGTGTGCCTTGACGCCGTTGACCCTGGGGCACTGGAAGAGAGGCCAGAGGGCTAGGTCAGCAGGGATCTGGCAGCAAGGGATGGCTGCTGGCCCCTCGCCCAGCACCGGGCTTTGTCCCCAACAACGAAGGTGGCCTCTGCATTCCTGGGATGAGGCACAAACAGAAATTCACGCTGCTGCCTCTGTCTGTCCTGGGCATTGTGATACTTCCCTCCCTAGAACGCACACCCTTTCTTCTCTCTCTTAGCGCAGGTATTTACGGAGTACCTGCTCTGTGCCAGGCACTGGACAGGGGAGAAGCCCAGGAGCAAGACGGGCTGAGCCTGCCCTCATGGGTTGGAAGCCCAGCAGAGGAGACAGTGGCAGGGGAGGGTGTGATGAGATTCAGCCCCTTGCTGTCACATGGGGATCTGGAGATTTCAGGAGCAACCTCCCCTGGTGTGGGCAGAAGTTAGGGAAGGCTTCCTGGAGGAGGAGGCATTTAAACAGTTCTGGCCAATGAGTAGGAGGTGGCCACCCAAGGGCAAGGGAAAAGGGCAGGATCCCTGGCTGTGGGATCTGACCCTAGAAATTAAAGTGCCCTGCCCTTGACCCACCCTCCATGACCCAGGGTCACGGTCCCCCAGCCTCTGGGGCTGAGGGCTGAGCTGCCAAGTAATGCCTCCTACCCCGGGTCTCTTCGCCTTCTGTTAGGAAGCTAATGGGCACTGGAATGGGGGTCTGGTTATTATTTATGAAGAATAAAAAGTAAGTATCATTTGAATTTGAGTTATAGTCATGCTGAAGTAGTGAGGGTTGAAGTTCACTAATGTTTGCAATCTAGTTTGAAATGCATTTTAAAAAAAGATGATGAGGTGGGACACTGGGGTGGCTCAGTCGGTTAAGCGTCTGACTTTGGCTCAGGTCATGATCCCGTGCTTTGTGGGTTCGAGCCCCGCGTCGGGCTCTGTGCTGACAGCTCGGAGCCCGGAGCCTGCTTCGGATTCTGTGTCTCCCTCTCCCTCTCTGCCCCTCCCCCACTTGCACTCTGTCTCTCTCACTCTCTCTCAAAAATAAATAAATGTTAAAAAAAAGTTTTTTAAAGATGATGAGGAAAAATAGATGCATGGATATGTGCTAAAGCAAATACAGCAACAGGTTAGCAGTTGTTTGATCCAGATGGCTCATGGCATAATACTCTCATGTCTTCTGTATGCTGGAGATTTTTCACAATGAAATGTTGGAGAAAAAAATTCGGTCAACCACACTAGAGGATATTCCATTATCTTTCTGTTCTCCCCTTAGAAAGTGCCATTTACAAATGCACTGTCACATGAAAAGCCTATCCAAGAGTATGGAACCAAAAATGCAGGGGAAAAAGTATTAATAGGGACATCTCGAGTGGTTTAACTAAAATTATTATGTAGTCTTTCCAGTTTGTGATGTGTGTGGTAGGTCAGCTTGTTTAAATATTATATAGTTTGCTGTGGTTTATTTTGCCATTCTTTCTCATATTTATTTAATATGTATTTCTGTCCTGATTTTATATTTTTGTTTTTTGTTTTTTTTGAGAGAGCGAGAGCACACATGTGAGCAGCAGAGGGAGAGAATGAATCTTAAGCAGGCTCCACGCCCATCATGAAGCTGGACACAGGGCTCCATCTCACGCCCCTGAGATTATGACCTGAGCTGAAATCAAAAGTTGGACGCTTAACCAACTGAGCCACCTGGGCGCCCCATGTTCTTTTTCTTTCCTGTAGAAGCTTCAGGCCGCGTCCACCCTGGCCTCCAGGGCCTTCGTATTAAAGACCCAGAAAAGCCAGTGGAAGACTGGGGAGCAGGGCGGGGCACTGTAACGGACTTCCCACAGCCTGGAGCCTCTAGGCCTGCTTCTGTTGTGACAAGAGACAACTTCCCAGCAGCATCACATCCCACAGGCATCGGGCTCTGCGGTAAACACAGCGGTCTGCCGGCTCCTTAGCTCTCAGCCTGCTGAATCCTTCAAATGCCAACTCAGACATCACCCACTCCCGGCAGCCTTCCCTGACTACCCCATTCCCCTCCACTCCTGAATTCACGCGTTCCTCTACCATTGTGCGTACTCGGCCCTGTTGAGGTCCACCAGTTTATACGTCCGCCTCACACAGGACAGTGACCTTTCTGAAGGCAGGCGCATAGCCATGCCCATTTCTGTCTATGGTGTCTCACTCACAGCCGTGTTCCATAAAGTCTACATGAACAAACCAGGGAATGGACAAATGAACCAACAGATGCTGGGACAAGCCAGTCCTGGCTGAGTCCGAGTGGCATAAACCAGAATCTCCAGGGCTCAGGTGGCTAGCGGGGCAGAGTTGGGACACGCCCTGGGGCAGGCAGACGGCTCTCAGCAGGCTGGCCTGCACTGTGGCACCTGCCTGCCCCACAGCAGACCACATGCTGGGGCCTCTGATTTCCCCAGTGATGGACATCACAGCAGTTCTCTGCCTGGAGGATGCTTTTTTTTTTTTTTTTTTTTTTAAGTCAACTCTATACCCAACATGGACCTCAAACCCATGACCCCAATATCAAGAGTCATGTGCTCCTTCGACGGAGCAAGCCCGCCAGGGGCTCCTGGGGATGAATTTTCAAACAGCAAAAATAAGACTCACAGCAGTGGGGCACTTTAGGGCAGCAGGAACGGGGCACGAGGGTGGACTAGGAAGCTGTCAAGAATAAGGACCTGATGTTGGGTATGTCAGATGCAGACCTCACCTATCCTGGGTCACCTATTATCTTCACAGAACTAGGGTTGGGCTTGTGATGCTGCTTGCGAGAACCAATCATTTGGTAGAGAACTATCCACTGTGTTGAGGCACTACCTCTCTCTGTGAAGGTGTGCTCTCCCAAGCTGATGCCTTAGCAAGCATCACTTCTACATCTTTGTATCTGGCCGACTGCCACTGCCTGGCATGTTTCCAAAATTTGGCTGCAGAAAGGTGGACTTATTTCCCATCTTTCCTTTTTGTTCTCTCCGAGCCAGGCTTCCTTAGACCCTGCAGAGACGGTGGGGCCGGGACTCAGGGGTGAGGGGTCTATACCGAGGCTGAGAGGCTGAGAAGGGCAGGTGGCGGCCAGGCCCCCAGCAAGGTCCCCTGGGATGTTCTCAGTCAGGAGCGAGTGACATGGGGCAGGGTCTGGGACAGAGAAAAGGCTGCAGAGCAGATACAGGCTGCCCCTCCTGAGACATCACCCACCTTTTGTCACCCACCTTTTGTCCAAAGTAGAGCTTGGTGAAGGTGAAGGTCTTCAGGTGGATGCTCTTCTCCCGGATCTTGGGCTCGAGTTTCTCCCGGAACTTGTTCTCCATGATCATACTCAGGTAGGGCCAGATCTGAGAGATGATCTGTGACCACAGAAAGAGGCTCTTGGGGGTCAGGTCTGTTTCCCCCACCCAAGACCCAGGGCTACCCAGAGCAACCTGGCCCCGGTGAGGGGGGGGGGGTTCCCATGGCCCTTACACTGCAGCGCCCACAGGCCTGTCTGCCCACCCATCCACGCAACTGTCCGTCCATCTATCCATCAAACATGGCATAACTACAACAGTTGTTCTCACTCTGGCCCAGGCAGTGGGACCCCAAGACTTGCTGCTGTTTTGCAGAACACCACGAAATGGTCACTCAACTTAGTATTATGAAACGTTTGGTTCACTGCTAAAATGTAAGCTATCAGAATCAACATTGTGGTGTAACCAGGAAGGAGCAGGTGCCAGAGGCTTAAGGAAAAAGAATCACAGAAGAGAAAGTTAAATTGCTTCCTGTGGATTTAATTTTTTCTAACCATCAAAAAAAGGCTGCCTTGGGCTGATCTCTGCAGAATGACTCATGGCGTGGGTCTGGGAAGTAAGCATGGGACAGGGGAGAGGGAGGGCAGCAGAGAGCGGTCATAGTTTAAAGATGCAGTTCCCGTTGCCCAGACCCAGCATCGGAGGAGCCCGAGGCTGAGAGGTTTCAGGGCACCACTGCCTCCATCTCTCTCAGGGGCCCCGTTAGGGCTGGTCCCGTCTTCCTGCCTCACTGCTTTGTTGTCTACTGAGTGCATCCTGAGCATGAAGCTCCATGGGACACACCGGGTGCCCCAGTGTGGTTTGTCTCCCCACCCGTGCCCTGAACTGAGGGTGGGAGCCTCATCCCACAGTCATACGTCCCCAACACCTTGTGTGGGACTCTGCGTGTCAGTGTAAGAAAGAATGATGTAGCACACGAGGGCACCCATGAACTAGGGGACACAGGCAGGAGGGACTCCCCTTTGTGGGCACAGAACAAGGTCTGTCCCAGGGGCCCTGGGCCCAGCATTAATCCACAGAAATCTGGTCACTCCTCTGAAAGCAGCAACCTACTTCGTCCAACTTCTACCTGTAGGCTGGGAGCAGTGTTCTTTTTTCCTTTCTTTTTAAATGTTTATTTATTTTTGAAAGAGAGAGAGAGCGCGTGAGCAAGCAGGGGAGGGGCAGAGAGAGAGAGGGAGACACAGACTCTGAGGCAGGCTCCAGGCTCTGAGCTGTCAGTACAGAACCCGACGCAGGGCTCAAACCCACAAACCGTGAGATCATGACCTGAGCCAAAGTCGGACACTTAAATGACTGAGCCACCCAGGCACCCCTGCTGGAAATGGTTTTTGATCCACATGGCATTGACATCTTTGGTAACACAGAACCATCAACTTTTGCTCAAAAACCATCAGGAAGTCTTTTCTTAGACCTAACTTAAGTTGTTCCTGCTATGGCTGTTCTAACCAGAACAGAGGCAAGGTTCATATTAGAAAAAGTCCTGAGTCAGAATCCTTGAGTGGGTGGGAGGATCCACAAGCTGTCACATTTAGGGGACAGATGTGGGCTGTCCAGATAGGGGCCAGACTCTGTTTCCTCATCTGTAAGAAAGGGCTAGACCCAGAGTTGGAGCCCGGGGCCCCCCCTGAGGCATCTGGGGGCAGAGCCTGCTGGGAGTTCCCTGAATGATCTAACAGTAGTCACACCAGTGATGACAGTGTTCATGATGTTCCAGGCAATGTGGGGCACTCATTACCTCATTAACCCTCACAGCCTCACAAGGCAGGGACCGTAATTATTCTTGTTGCACAGATAGGGGGAACCAGCTCTGAGAGGTGAGGCGGCCTGCCAAGGGTTGCAGAGTCAGTGCTGACAGATCTGGGCTGGAGACCAGGTGAAGTGTGGCCATGGCCTTCCTCCCTAGGAAGCACTGATCTTGGCCTCATGGGCCACTGGGGGTGCTGCATTTTTCTCTATACTCTGTGTTTTCTAACATTTCAGCTGTGGCCATGCATTAGTTACACACTAAAATAAATTTTGTTTTCTTTTGTTTTGTTTTAAATAGAATCATTGGTAATGAGAAGATCCCGGAGGGTGGGAAGGGGAAGAAACCGGCAGAAGGCAGCCGGCAGTTACTGCCAGGAGGCCCCTGTCCCTGTGCGTGGCATCGCCGTCGCCCCGCCCCTGGGGTCCCTCAGCCTAGGGCCGCCAGGAGGATGAGGCCTAGAAGAAAGCCAGCCCTGCCGGACCCACCCCGGCCTTACCTTATTGGCCCACTCGACCCGTTCCACATCTGGGAAGTGGATCTAGGGAACAGAAACCCCAAAGGTAAGTTAGACTGAACACCTGCCCATCCCTGAAAACCCAGAAGCGCAGCAGCCGGGCAAGTTCCCGCTCCCACCCCACACACACCTCTGCTCTTCCTTCCCACCCTGCACCCACTTGGCCAGAGACTCAGCCAGCCCTGTCCCGGAGCGCACCTTCTGGTGCGGCAGGCAACCAGACGGTACCAATGTACGGCCAACACTGACACTACTGGGCTCGGAAGCCCTGCACGCGGGTGTGCGATTCTGTGGAGACTGCTCCTCTCTCCCGCAGCCCCCTCCCCCTCCCAACTGCGCCCTGCAGCCTACAGGCTGGAAGGGCGGGGCTGGAACCCGTACCCTTGCTTATGCAAATAAGACCTTCCTTCCTGGTGGATACACACAATCCCCACCCGGGCTGGCCCAGGGTACCACCCGACTTCGTTCCTTGCCTTTCCCTCCTCCTTATTCCTTTTAATGCCACAAGTAATCATGGACTCTGGAGAAAAACTAGAAAATACAGCTAAGCAAAAGGAAAAATATTTTATCACAGAATGCCAAGGGACAACCACCGTTAACAGGTTCAGCCTATTGCGGAAACAAGGCTATGTAGTTCCCACAGAAATTGAAGTCACCGTGTGTTTTGGTAGTCTGCTTTTTTCCACCTAGTGTATGTAGGATTGTATTGATTCCTAAGGTAACAACTGCCCGTTTGAAAGCCATTTTCACAGGCAACTGGAGAATGGAAGTGCCCCCATCAGCTCCCAGAAGCCCCTCCCCAGCAGGCCAGATCTGTGGTCACATAGGGGAGCTTCCTTCAGGTCACAGCCCCTAGCCACTGTGCCTGCCAGGTGAGTCCTGCCACTTCCTTGGGTCAGGGAGGGAGCTTGGCGGGGTGGGAGGAGGGGGGGGGCAGGTGAAGCAACAACCCTACTGGCTAACCTTTGCATCACCTGAGGGTGCTTAAGCCCTTCCTTGCAAGAGTCTCAGTCTCTGCCAGTGTCTGAGCTTCTCATAGACCCCCACCCCAACCCCCAAGGTTCTCAGGGGTAAGACTGTAATGGTACCTGGCACAAAATAGGGATCAATAAATGGTAGCAGTGGCTACCATCACTGTCACCAAGTCCTCTGAGCACAAGGCCAACTCAGGATCAGATTCATGGTGGGCATTGGAACTCGCAAGGTCAGGAAAGGAGATTGTCCATGCAGTTCACACTCCTAGTGCACACCAGGCCCTGGGCTGGCTCTGGGGATGCCCTGAAGGCCTAAATGTAGACCCCGGCCTAGACCACTTGCCCAAGAGGAGAGCCATTCCCAAAGGAGTGATAAGCAATTCAGTCCTCTTAAGGAGTTTTTAACAACCTTGAGAAGTCAAAGAAGCCCAGCGCTTCTGAGACTCCTGGAACATTGAGCCATTCTCCCAGCCCCAGTTCCCCCAGCCCTGGGCAGTGATCCATATAAACTTGGACAAGCATCTAATAGTCTCAGGTGCTAAAGGAAAATCACTGCCTGGTTCCCAGGGGGAGGGCAGGGGGAGGCTGACTCAGTCCACAGGAACAGAAGGGAATGGTGGGAAAGGAATCTTGAGGGAAGTAGGCAGGAATTAGGGTCAGCCCACCCATTTCAGCTGGGGAGAAGCAGCCTACTCACCACCCATTCCCTGCTGCTGCCCTGGGTCAGGTCCTAAGCTGGTAGCAGGCAAATGGAGGGTGAGACCCTTTCATTTCTCGCTATCACACTGCCCACTAAAGCACACTAAAGAAAAAGCTCCTGCACGTGGGGCTGAAACAGACATCCCCACTGCTCTTTGGTTGCTCCACTCATTACTATCTTTGACTTTATTTCTTCCAGGCAGCCTTTCCTGATCTCTCAAGTCAGAGACAGGTGTCCCTATTATGTGTCTGCTGGTTCTCCTTTGAGACACTTAACACACCTTAACAGACCTGCTTGTCTGCCTGCCTCCTTACTAGACTGGAAGCTCTCGTGGGCCGACTCGGCCGTGTTCCCTATTAGTGCCTGTCCCTGACACATGAATATCTTAATAAATATTTGTGGAATGAATGAATGCATAAATGTATGCAAGGTTCTTGCCCTCACATAGCTCCTAGGCTGGTAAAGGAAGCAGACAATAAACAGATCATTCCAAGTACAGGATCAATACCAAGGTGTGGGGAGTGGGACCCCCACAAAGGAGAAAAGTGGGTTACAGCTGGGCTTTCATTGGCACCTTTGTCCCTCTGCTGCTCAAGCCTGCTGGCTGGACCCTTCCCTCTCCTCCGTCCATCCTGCCCCCTGCACTCCCAACTTACCCCAGGGCACATCTTATGTGCACACCCCTTCCACCAACCCCCTGACTCTCCAGGGGAGGACCCAGAGGAGGTTCTGTACCCCTGGGAACTGGGTTCTGATCTCCTGCACCCTGGAAAAGTAATCCAGCTTGGCAGGTCTAACCCTGGCCACACTTGGGAGCCGGCTGAACGAAGATTCCTAAGCTGCCTCACACCTACTGACTCACCGTGTTTCAGGGTGGGGCCTTGCAATTTATTTTTAACAAGCTCCTGGCAGGGTTCTGGAGTTCCATCAGGGTTGGCATCAATGACCAGCCCGCCCCTTCCTTTAGAGGGGCCCACACTCACCCTGACAATGCAGACAATAACGGGATGTCCAGGGCCCACACTGTTTTCATGGTCTCTTGGCCAGCTGCACTTGTGTTGAGGCTCCCTGCTAAGAGATTCCCCTAGAAAGTGAGTCTGAATGCCCTGACAAGAGCAGCAATTCAGGCCAGGAAAGGAAGAGACCATCAAGTCTCTACTCTGCCTTAGGCATCCTGCTGGCTCTCCCTCGGCCTAAATCTCAGCACCTATCGTGACTCGCCAGTGAGCTGATTCAAGAGCCAGGCCATCTTCTCTGTGATGGCCCTAGCGTAAGTCCTGGACCAGAGGATGACATCAGAGTGATGGACATTTAGGAAGCAATTACTCAGACCCAATGTTCCCTCAGTTTGATGGAGACAAATTAGTCATGTTTCCATTATAGTTGGCCTTTTTTTTCCCCCTACTCCAAATTCTCAAAGTTATTTCATGCTTTTATCTATATTTTAGCTTTTCCACTTAGGTCTTCAATCTGTCTGAAATTTTTTTTGGGGGATGAGATAGGCCTCTACTTTCATTTCTCTCCACATTCTAAGGCAGCAATTTTCTAGTATCACATACCAAAAAAAAAAAGTCCATCTTTCCTCCTGACTTGTGAAGTGACTTCCCTCATATGTCAGCTTCTGCTGTGTACTCTGGTGTGTTTCTGAACTTGGCATTGAACTCTGTGGTCTGATTGCCTGTTCCTTGCTAGTCTCACACTGTGCTATTCACTCTAGCTTTGCAACATGACCGGGGTTTGGTGATTCCCTCTGTTAGCTTTTCTTTTTCAAACTGATTTAGCTAATAGGAGCTATTTATAATTCCATATGAATTTTGGAATCTTGTCAATCTTCCCTCCAAAAAATCCTCCTGGATTTTGATGGTTATATTCCAGAACTTATAAATTTGTAGGAGAAATGACAGCTTTACAATATTAAGTTTTGTAGCCATGAGCAGAATATTTCCCTTTATGAATCACATTAGGTTGCACTCACATTTGAGATCATAAACCTTTTCCTATAAAAATCCCATATATTTTTGTTAGATTACTTCGTGGGTTTTGCAGTTATTAAAAATGGTATTTCATTTTCTGGGCAACTTTGTTGAAATTTGTTGCTAGTTCTAACTGTTCATGAATTCGCACAGATTATACACATTAATAATCTCCAGTAACAATTATTTTCTTACCTTCTCTTAGTTTGTCTTTTGGTCACGCCCAGTAGCAGTGATTGCGAACAGCTCTACCTTGTTCCTGGCCTCAAATGGAAGTTTTTCCATGAAGTGTGATTTTTGCTGTAGAGTTTTAGAGGACAGCCCCTATCAGGTTGAGGAAGCTCTTCTCAATAACTTAATTTGCAAGGACTTTCATTATAAATGGGTATCGAACTATATTCAACACAATAGATATTGAGACAATCATGTAATTTTTTCCTCTTTGTCCATTAATGTGGTGAACTTAACTGATGTTTCTTTATAAAACAAAACCATTTCTAGGACTCAGGAAATGCCCCATTTGAAGTAATACATTTAGGTAGCCTGATATCTCATTTAGGTTTATACACTTAGGATTCAAAGTGATACCTACAATTTTCGTTCTTGTGCAATTCACACCCAGTTTTGGTACAAAGATCTTACAATAAATTATAAAACTAGTGGGACAGCTTTTCCATATCTTCCTATTTTCTGAAACAACCTGTAAATAATAGGAATTATCTCATTTAAAAGAAAAAAGAAAAAAAAAAAAAAACGGGTGCCTGGGTGGCTCAGTCGGTTAAGCGTCCAATTTCAGCTCAGGTCATGTTCTCCTGGTCTGTGAGTTTGAGCCCCGCGTCAGGCTCTGTGCTGACAGCTCAGCCTGCTTCAGATTCTGTGTCTCCTTCTCTGTCTTCCCCTCCCCCGCTCATGCTCTGTCTCTCTCTCTCTCTCTCTCTCTCTCTCTCAAAAATAAACAAAAACAAAAAAAGGAATTATCTGGTCAATGAAGTTTAATGCATCTTAGCTATAAAGCCATCTTGGCCTGAGGCTTTTTGGGGTAGGAAGTTACCATTCCTCTTTTTAGTGGTTAATGGTGTATTCAAGGTCTACTTATCTCTTATTGTGGCAATTTCGGCATTTATATTTTTCTAGAAATATAGTTTATCTAGGCTTTCAAATGTATTGATATATATTTGCTTATAATATTTCATTATTTTTAAAATGTTTATTTATTTTTGAAAGAGAGGAGTACGAGTGGAGGAAGTGCAGGGGGCGGGGGGGACAAAGGATTCTAAATGGGCTCTGCGCTGACAGAAGGGAGCCTGATGCAGGGCTCGAACTCAGGAAATGTGAAATCATGATCTGAGCTGAAGACCGAAGCTCAACGGACTAAGCCACCCAGGCTTATAATAATTTATTACTTTTAATCTGCTTTATCTATAGTTATTTCTGCATTTATCCCCTATTTTATTTTCATCTTTTTCTATTTTTTAATAGGTCTAGCTTGACAAAGGTTTTGCCCATTGTATTGATCTTCTCAGAGAACTAGCTTTAGTTGTTGTTAATAGTTTTCTTTCCCCTTTACCATTATATTAAAATTTTTGTTCATTTTCATCGTTATGTTTTTTATTTCCTTACCTATTTCTTTGATCTAAACCTGTTGCTTTCTTATGTTCTTGGAGTTGAATTTATTTTCAGTTTTTGGTTTGTGATAAATTCAAAGTTTAAATTCCCTATGATTTTTGGCATAGTGTTTTCATTATTTACCTCCCATTTTTTTTGTCGTTTCCATGATGACTACGTTTTCAACAATAATTTTTTACAATAAGTACTATTTTTAAATATTTAGGCATGTGAGGTTTCTAACACTGCTTATTGCTTTCTGATTCCATTTCTTTATGGCCTGCACAGTCTATAGGATGGCAGACCACTGGAATATATTGATAATTCCTTTGTGGCTTAGTGCATGATTAATTGTTATGGCTGTTCCATGTATGATCAAGTTATTAATCATGTCCTTTGTAAAAAAAAAAAAAATATCCTGCCCTTCAACAATTCTTTATCCTTGTTTCCTCCTTGCCTACTTCTCATTTTCAGAGAGGAATGTATTAGAATTTCCAAGTCCAACTGTTGCTTTATCTTCTTCCCTGTGCAGTTCTGTCAGTTGTTGGGTTTTTTATTTCAAGTTTATATTATGCAGCATATATATGTCCATGACTGTTATCTTTTAAAATTACTATTCCTTTTATAATGACAGAACATCCTTGTCTTCAGGATATATCTGAGTTACATTCTACTTTATCTGATATGAAAATTGCCACTCTAGCTTACTTTTGTTTCAAAGTTGCCCAGTTGTATCTTTTTTCCACCTTATTTTCTAACTTTTTGAGTTCATGTGATCTCATGTCATTTAAAACTCACCTTAGTCCCTTTTTAGCTCCATTTTACACATAAGGAAACTAAGGCTCAAAAAGGTTACTTACAGGCACCAGCTGCAGAGAGCCAGAGAGGAATCACAGACCCAGGTCGGTCTCACCACAAAGTCCCTGCCTGTCCACCCCACCCCTCTCACTCCTCTTAAGAAAACCTTACATAGTATTATCTTTTCCTCTTTTATAGAAGGTCTAATTTAGCAGAGGGTTGCCCTCATGGGACCGGAGTCTTCATTAGCAGGCCATGCTTTATAGCTTACAAAGGACATTCCACAGACACTTTCATTTCATCCTCCTAATACTCCATAAGGTTTACAGCAAAGCTACAATTATCCTCATTTTACAGATGAGGAGAGGCTCAGAGACTAGTTGGTACCTGCCAAGATCACCCAGGTGACCAGAACTCAGATTTCACCCGCATGTAATTTGAGCCCAGCCTTCAAGCCTTTTTTCTCCCTGCCTTCTCCACCTGAAGTGTCAGCATTTGAAGTGCATCTCTTAGGGTCAAAGTAGTCTTTGTGCATTTTTTTTTTAATTTTTTTTTCAACGTTTATTTATTTTTGGGACAGAGAGAGACAGAGCATGAACGGGGGAGGGTCAGAGAGAGGGAGACACAGAATCGGAAACAGGCTCCAGGCTCTGAGCCATCAGCCCAGAGCCCGACGCGGGGCTCGAACTCACGGACCGCGAGATCGTGACCCGGCTGAAGTCGGACGCCCAACCGACTGCGCCACCCAGGCGCCCCAGTCTTTGTGCATTTAAAATTTCACCTCTGTAAGCCTTGGTTTTCTCATCCGCAGGATGGGTACCATGCTACCAGTTTCACAGAGCTCCTGAGTAAATGAGACAATGCGTGTAAATAAGTGCTCGGTACCCTCCCTGGCTCAGAGTAAATGCTCCAGAAACTGTTACTGTTGTTGGCAGTTGTATAGACCCTGGAGGTGCAGACACTGACGTCTTTGTCCTCAGGTACATGCCAAGAACAATGTCACCTGGGCTATGCGTCCAGTTCTGTCTGACCCAAAGCCCAGCAAATTCTCTACGGGCTCCCCAGGTGCCTGCGGCTCTGCACTTTGGGAAACACTGAGAAGAGAGACAACACAGCGAAAGCGCCTGAGGCTGAAGGAGGACCACAGTTGAGTGTTGTTTCCCCGGCCTCTGCTGATTGGCTGAGGGATGCGCCCTAGATAGGCTGGGCCCAATGCCTGTGAGGCGCCTGTGTGAAGCTGTCCAATGAATGAGGGCGCTCCACAATGAGGCGGGGCAAAGGGACCCAATCAGAGCCTCTGTGCATGTCTTTCCCTCGGGAGGTAAAGGAAGGGAAAGCTGAAAAAGACGACTGGTGGCCCACTCTCAGACTGAGTCCTAAAGTCACCGGAACTTTGGTTCCAATACCTCACAAGGCTGGGAGTCTCTGAGACCAGAGAGCAGGGAGACATCCACGCCTCCTGGCAATGCAAAGGGCTAGATTCAGGCGGGTGTGGGCAGCGGTCTTAAACTTTTCCTTACAAAACCACCACCAGGAGACCTCTTTAAGACGTGGATTCTTAGTGAGGTCCCTCAGAGATTTCGATTCTGGGAACTGAAAACTTGGGGCAGGGACCCGACAGCTTGTATCTTTAACAAGCTCCCAGGTCATTTTGATCACAGTGCTAGGGCGTGTTGAAGAATGAGTGGACAGGCCTCCCTAGGCTAGGGGACCTGCTCAGACCCTGGGAGAAGGTGACTCCTCCGCCCCGAGGCTCCTGACGAGGGCTCCAAAGTCACAGCTGTCACTTTGTCATCAAATTCTTACCGGCAGCCTATGGACCTCAATTCTTTTACAAAGGGAGTATCTTTTGTGCCACGAGGAGCAAGGGAAGGCAAGGGCTAGCAGATGAAAACACAGTATGATGAGTCTGCCTGGCTTTGGGCACCGCTCTGGCCCCTAAAAAGGTGAGCCACTTCCACCCAGTAGCTGCTTTCTATAGCCAAGCAGCAGAGGTAGGACGTGCCACCAGGGGTCCTGAGGAACCAGGGTCTGGTCCTGACCCTCTTTCTGCAGCCTCAGGTTTCTCCCCATTGAAGGAAGTGAGGCTGTGATGCCTATGCTGCCCAGGTCTACAATCAGGAGACAATGAACGCAAATCTACTCTATATGGAGACAAATTAAGAGCTCTAGCAAGGTGGGGCATCTGGGTGGCTCAGTCAGTTAAGCGTCCAACTTCGGCTCAGGTCATGATCTCACAGTTAGTGGGTTTGAGCCCCATATTGGGCTCCGTACTGACAGCTTGGAACCTGGAACCTGCTTGGATTCTGTGTCTCCCTCTCTGTCTCCTCCCCACTCACGTGCTCTCTCTCTAAAATAAATGAACAAAAAAAAAAAAAAAAAGAGCTGTAGCAAGGTTCATCCCCCTAGAACATGGACACTCTCCTGACTGCTATATTACAGGTGTGAGCACTTACCCAAAGAAGGCCTGAAAACTCTTAAAGTTGCCCAAGCCCATGGTCAAGTCACCAAGACCTTAGATGCCTGCTTTTGCCCCTGAGAGAAACTTAAGTAGATGGGGCCTCGGCCCCCACCGAGAGCCTCCCTGTGCTAACTTACATCTTGCTGCGGTTAGTGTGCTTGGGCCAAAGCTTCCCAGGCAGTGGGCTCATATTTTAATGACAGCATTTTTTAAGACAGTGGCAGTAATGAGAGCTCAGAGAAGAGATAGACTGTAAAGCAAACTCAAGTCAGAATTCCAGGCTAGCAGAGGCCACCACAATGGCGCCACACATTAATGCTTCATCTCTAGGTGGTCATGCTTTACTTCTTAAACCCTTGAGGAAAAATGAGGAAAAATATCCACAGCAGTGAGGAAACGGAGCCAGAGTGATGGCTGGATCCAGCAGTGTGGAGCCTAGGCAGGGCCCACAGATGGACTAGGAGGCCTGGACGGCAGCTTTGGGCCACCAGACCCTCTCAGGAGGCAGGGAGATTGGAGGGCTTCACTTAAAAGGCCTGCGTGTCACCAGGTGAACCCGGCTCACTCCCTGTCACGGGGATGGTAGCTCTTCCCATGGGAGCAACC